GCCTTGGCCACCCTTTGCAAAAAAGTGTAGCTCTGCCCCTGTTTGACACCCTGCCTTATAATACTGTTTGGTTTGCACTTGACTAAAACATACAGTACACATTAAATTAATGAGAATTGAAAATGCTTTTATAAGAAATAAACAAGAACTGAAATAAACTCAGCAAAATACTTTCATAGGATGTTAGTTGTCTGACATATAATAAGACAGCAACATGAAAGGATTTTTTATGATGYCTCTGTTATTAAATATTCCAAAACAAGATCACAGTTTAGCTTTTAGCATATTTAACACAAAGATTTTATTTTACTTCCATCAAATATTTAATATCTTATCAAGAAAATAGATGTATTGGGGGAAATGATGTTAAAAAAATACTATRTTCCTTTTTCACACTGCTTACATGATGAAGTGTAGGAGGATCAAATTTAGGCCCATTAGATGTCCCTTTTTCTGAAGATACACCAGGAAGAGGGTTTTATTTATTTTTAAAGCTCCATAATAATACCTTTTAGCCTGAATGCAGCAGCCTGGTGTCGAAGAGGAACACTCTCTCTGGAGAAACCATTATTCTAGCAAAGTGGATGAGAAATAACAGCATTGTTACCTCTCGAGCAGAACGAGAAAAAATGAAGTCGATAAAAAAAACCTCACACTTTCAACAAGCCTCCACCACATTTTCAAGCTTTTGGACGAAGAGAGAGAGAGAGAGAGAGAGAGAGAGAGAGAGAGAGACAGGTTGAGTGAAGGATAAAAACCTGGCAGGCAAGAAATGACACTTCTGGAACAGGAATAAGGGAAAAAAATGTCCATTTACTTTTTAAATCAAAGCTGACTTTGTTTTCTTCCTGTATATTAAGTACACATATACTTTAACCTACGACAAAAATTGAAGKTCTAAAGTTCCTTAAAGAATGCAGATCATTTTCAGCTGAAGTCCTTTCAGGTTAAGTTGTATTGCGAGTTAATATTTGTGTTATTGATAATGTTCTGCACAATGTCATACAATGTTGTGAGATTTGGCACAACCTGTCAGTGCTCAAAATATGTGTTGGTAATGATCCTCGGCTACTATCAGGCTAAATTTTAGCTCAGAATTCATTCAAATTGGCAAAGTTATGTCTTTTTTGGCATTTCTGAATATCTGTTGACTGTTGTGGCCATTTAGAAATGGATTGACTCCAAATTTAATTGAGACTTAGATGTACATCCAATCACGTTGTTCTGAGAATTTCATTGAAATCTATCAAGTATTTCATAAGATATTATGCTAACAGACAGTGTGGATTCCCATATTTAATGCCAAAGTTTTAAGCAAAGGCATCACAAAATATTAGAGCTCAGAGTGTGTGTTGGTGATGATGATGATCAGCGACTACCACATCAAGTTTTAGCGTAATGTCTGTAAAACTCACTGCGTTAGAGCTGTTCCAGTGTTTCTTGTGTTCAGTTTGTTGCAGCGGCCATCTTGAGTAAGGCTGGCTCCAAAAGTTGATCAGTTGAACATGTGCATTCATTAATGACTTCCTGGGAGTTTCATTGATGTCTGTCCAGTGGTGTTTGGGAAATTTGACTAACAGACAAACACACACAAAGACTGTTTTATCCTAATACAGGGGCGTGTCTAGAATCCTTTTCTTGGTGGGGGG